ATTGTTGCTGTCTTCATGTTTGGGGTTTTGCTGCTGAAGTGATTAGTATGATTAATACATTGGCTTTGAATCTTTAAACCTTGTTGTATATCATTGTCTTTGTGTCCTAATTAGCCTCAGCTGTCAACGTGACATAGCCTGGAGTCATCCGAGGGAACAGCAGTTGAGGGCCTGCCAAATCAGAATATCTGCTTTCTATGTCTGAGAGAGATTGTGTTCACTATGCTTGATGTGGAAAGGCTCTTCCACTGGGTTGGCAACATCTTTAAGCAAGTGAGCATGGGCTGGATAAGAGAGCTACCTGAGCATGAGACAGTGACCAAGTAAGAAAGCCAGTAAACAATGTTTCCTTGTGTTTTACCTTCAATTAATATCTCGAGTTTCTATCCCAAGCTCACCTAAGGAGGGATTGTGACCTATTGGTATCAACCAAATAAACCTGTTCATTACCTGAGTTGCTTTTGATTAGAGGATTTAATGACAGCAACAGAGAAGAAAGTTGGAAGAAAAAATGGTACCTCAAATGTGTTTTTGTTGCTGCAAAGGATGTGGTGATGCTGACTTTTGGAGGAATGTTGAAGATATTAGGACTTTAGATGGCACAAGTCATAGAAAGCTGTTCACAGAGTTTAATCAGCTGTTTGTTTGTTTTGGTTTTTCAAGACAGGGTTTCTCTGTGTAGTTTTTGTGCCTGTCCTGGATCTCGCTCTGTAGACCAGGCTGGCCTCACAGGGATTTGCCTGGCTCTGCCTCCCAAGTGCTGCAATTAAGGCATGCACCACCACTGCCTGGTGATCAGCGGTTCTTGTAGGACCTGGAAGATTGGAATGTTGAGAATAATGGCAAATAGTGGAGGTCAAGGTCATAGGATTTTAGTGGGCAATAGGCCCTGCAGGGAACCATGGAGTTGGTCTGGCCTACCTGCCTGGAGAGATGTGTCATAAGTTTATCAGGTTAAAGTCCATGACTCCTGGGGCACAATGTGCCTTCCAGTTCCTAAGAGATCAGTGCACCCCACAGGCAGTGAAGCACTCAGGCTGCTTTTTGTTTCTCTCTGTAAGATCCTTTAATAGTCAAGGAAGCTTGGAAGCTTAACAGGACAATTGGTCTTAGATATTGATATTGTGTACCCTGTACAGCTTGCAAACTTCCTTTTGTCCTGGCAAGTGCAACTATTGATCCTGGAAATTGCCATTATTTTCTATTTCTGATAAAAGCATAAGACATCTGATTGTTATCAATAAAACAGTCACAGCCTCATCTTGCTGTGACCCCTTCTAATCAAAGCCTGGTATCCTTCCTGTGGCCTATCTGGTAACTTTGGCCTGGTAAGTAAACACAGACACTTGTAAGACTCCATGAAAATTTAGCTAGAAGTCATTTGTGTGATAGTTTGGTCCCAAATTTTTCTTATTCTCTCCATGCCCCAAGAAAGAGAGTAAGGTAGAGTTAAAAGTAATGGGCTGATTTCTCAGACAAAATATTGCTTCTATTGGACGGTTATTACCGATGACTCATTCAGGTCTACAGTGAAAAAAAGTAGGCTTAGGAAGAAATGAAATGTCTTTGTTTTGTAGAGAAAACCAGCAGTAGGTAGTTTTGTATGGCTGTTAAGTGGCTAAAAAGAGGCAGGAAATTTCAAGGAGTTTAGCATCATTACTTAGAAGGCCTTTACTCTGCATTAGAAGACTTATTTTTTAATTGATTTTTTTCTGTTTTCTTTCTTTCTTTTTTTTTTTTTTGGTTTTTCGAGACAGGCTTTCTCTGTGTAGCTTTGCGCCTTTCCTGGAACTCACTCTGTAGCCCAGGCTTGCCTCAAACTCACAGAGATCCACCTGCCTCTGCCTCCCGAGTGCTGGGATTAAAAGCATGTACCACTGCTGCCTGGCATGCATTCAGAATTTTTTAAAGTTTAAGAACTTTTCTGTCACTTGCCTATACCAATGGATGGTAATATAAATTGTTTGCATTCTACATTGCTAACTTTGTCCTGTGGCAAAGGCATCTAGCTAATATCTAGCACTAGAAATGTTTCAAACTGGTGTTAGTGACTATATAGATCAGTGAATATAGCAAGTTTGTCTAAATATAGCCACTGTTGATTTCGAGGAAATTAGTTTATACACTAAAACCTACCGACTTATGAAGTTGACCTAAGATGGTTCAGTAATAAACTTGTGTTAATTCTTGTATGTTTGAAAAACAATCACTGCTGGGTGTGGTGGTGCACACCTTTAATCCCAGCACTCGGGAGGCAGAGGCAAGAGGATCTCTGTGAGTTCGAGACCAGCCTGGTCTACAGAATGAGTTCCAGGATAGGCTCCAAAGCTACATAGAGAAACCCTGTCTTACAAAGCAAAATAAATAAATAAATAAATAAATAAATAAATAAATAAATAAATAAATAAATAAATAAATAAATAAATAAATAAAAATTAAAAAAAAGGAAAGAAAGAAGAACAATCACACAAGTCAGTATATTTACAGTGACATTAGGAGTCAGCAATTATTTTATAAAGTTTATTTATATGTATTTGTCAAAGCATGTTGCTGTACAAGCACAGTAAGCTGGTTCCTGGGAACCAATGGTTGTGGTAATATTGTGTTCCCCAATATATTGTGCCTCCTAATAAACTTATCTGGGGTCAGAGAACAGAACAGCCACTAGATAGACATAGAGGCCAGAATATTGTGTCACTCACACCTTTAATCCTATCACTTGGGAGGCAGAGATCCATCTGGATCTCTGTGAGTTTAAAACCACACTGGAAACAGCCAGGCATGGTGATTCACGCCTTTAGTCCCAGGAAGTGAGCCTTTAATCCCAGGAAGTGATGGCAGAAAGCAGAAAGGTATATAAGGCGTGAGGACCAGGAACTAGGGCAGGTTAAGCTTTTAGGCTTTTGAGCAGCAGTTCAGCTGAGATCTATTTGGATGAGGACACAGAGGCTTCCAGTCTGAGGAAACAGGATCAGCTGAGGAATTGTCGAGGTGAGGTAGCTGTGGCTTGTTCTGTTTCTCTGATCTTCAGCGTTCACCCCAATACTTGGCTCTGGGTTTGTTTTTATTAATAAGAACTTTTAAGATTCATGCTACAAATGATAGAAAAAACCAAGTCCTATAAGGATAGTTGTCCATTGGCCAGTACACATGAAGTATAGCACGTGCCTGTACTCACACCAGACACACAGTCAGACACACCTCTCTCTCTTTCATGTACACACATATACAACATACACACAAATGCACACACATCACACACATAAACACACAGCACAGACACAAATGAACATATACACTCAAACACACACAAACATAAACACAAACACAAATACACACATATATAAATGCTCACACAAACATAGATATACACATACCATACATACAAATACACAAACACATACACATGCACAAAATCATACACCCACAAAGAAACTTTCAAAAATAGTATTAGTATTTTAAAAAACACTTAATATATGTGTGGTGAATAAATTTACACAGGATTGAATTTTTTGTTCCATTTGTTATTCTTTATTTGTATGATATAACAGCATGTTCTGAAAAGTTCTGATCTCATAGAATGTGTCTGTTCTGGTAGCCAAAGTAGAAATATTTGCAAAGTATGATACTTGTAATACTTTGGTTACTATGAGGGGAGGATGCATAAAATTTTGCATTTAATATTAGTGGTTTGGAAGAATCATTTTGAATCTTTATCAGTAACATAAAAGGCCATGAGTGTTGGAGATGCTCAAATTTTAAAGATGCTTGATGGTTAAGTAATAAAATACTGTAATATCTCAATGTAATGAAAAGAGGCCATGTTTTGATTTGGTTTGGTTATTTGACACATTCTTTCTATGTAGCCCTGGCTGTCCTGGAAATTGCCATGTAGACAAGACTGGCCTTGAACTCACAGACAGGTCCTCCTGTCTCTCATTCCCAAGTACTGGGAATGAAGGCTTACACCAGCACACCTGACCTTTGTTTTAGGTTCTTTGAAAGAGTCTCAATATGTATTCTTGGTGGGCCTTGTAGTTGCTGAGTCGAGCAGGCTGGCTTCAAGTTCAGAGTTCTGCTTGCTTCTGTCTGCAGATCCCCGAGATTAAAACGCATGCAACCACACCTGGCTGAGATCTTTTTTATATAACCACTAAATGCCAATGTTGGGTGTGCTTTGAAAAAGTTGAATAACATATGTGACCAAAATTTTGGGCCAGACCTATTTTGTAAACTGGTCTTTAGTAGGCCAGAGTGGCCTTGAATTCCATATTTACAAGGATGTCCTTGTCTTGACGATTTATCTATAAACAAGCCAAGGTCCAGCTTATGATATAACATGTAAAATGTGGAAATGTTGCTCTTTTATTCACACTGCATAGATTTTGATTCAGAGTTGAAGATCTTGTTTTTCATTCAGATATCTGTGATTTCTGTTTGCTTTTTGTCTTTTTTGGCCCAAGTGTACACAAATTAGTTCTAAATCACCATGTCTACTCAGCTTTCCTTTTAAAAAGCTTATTTCCTTTTTCAATTATGATTTCTCTACATATTTTAGATTTTCCATTATTCTAGATAATTTTGTTTTGGGAGTGAAAGCCAGGCAGAGCTCATGGTAGGCAGTTGCTCTACTCCAGAGCTTCTCCCTTCCTTAGAAATACTTCGATGTTTGGAAATACTTTTTCTTTGGTATGGTTTCAGTAAATAGATCAAGCCCTCTGCTTAATAAATTTTTTGTATTAGTTTTTTGTTCATCTGTGGGTTTTCCCACTGTGGGATAATTGTGCGGTTAGATGACTTCATTTCTGAGTTTTTAAGGCATTTTTTGTTTCATGTATGATATCTTTGAATAAAGACTCAAGCTTTTCTTGTGGATAATATTGAGATTGCATGTATGGAATTGTCTTTCTTTTTGTCACAAAGCCTAATATATGTTTTAGCTAAATTATATTTACCCTGTTTATAAATTTTTAATTAATGAATTAATCAATATATTTCAGCTAGTTTTGCTGGGTAGCTTCTCTGGAGTTCATCTATGTAGACCAGACTGTTCTCACACTTGGTAATACTGCTACCTTCCAAGAGCTGAGATTACAGGTATGTGCCCAATAAAATTTAATTTATTTTCCAGTTGTTTTTTCCCCCTAATGTATGTCTAAATTAATGATTGTGTATTGCACCAAATGTGCAATCTACTAACAAATGTTGCTTACAAGTAGATAATCGTTGGGATGGACATTTCCTATTCTTTATTTGGAAGTTAGGATTTTTGAGTTCAGATTACTTAAATGCAGGATACATTTTCAGTTCTATGGAAGTATGGAGACGTGTGTTTGTGTTTAGTGAAGTTACTATTACTTTTGTATAACAGTAATGATGTGCCAGGAATGTGCAGACAAATATCAAGTAAGGAATGAAGTTTGCTGCAGTCCCAGTCTATGTTCTTTTAGGCCATTGAGAACATGTACTCCTTGCTGGGAAAGCTGTTTTCTGGTTTCAGAAGCATTCATTTACTTTATAGGTGCTAGGATGGTATTATATCATGTTACAGTTGCTTTTCTTCTACCTAGGCTCATAACTGACCAAGATTAGTTGAGAAATTCAGTGTGATTGACTCACAGACAATTAGGTTTAGGTTTGTTAGCCATACATTAGCCACCCTTTATTATTTGAGAATTTCACACATGAATATAATGTATCTTGATCAAAACCACCCCTTATTTCCTCCTCTTCTGTACCCCTCCCTCTTTTTGATTCCTCTTCTCTACTTCATGGGCTAATTTTAGACTCACTGAGTTCACTTAGTGATTGGGGAGGAAAGAGTATTTGGCTTCCAGGTCCAGTTCACAGTCCATCATGCAGGGAAGTCAGTCAGAAACTCAAGGCAGAAGAAGCCTAGAGGTAGGAACTGAAATAGAGACCCTGAAGGAATGCTGCTTACTGGCTTGTTCTTCCTGGCTTATTCAGTTTTCTTTCTTTTTTCTTTTCTTTCCTTTTTCAATTGAAAATAGATTTCCACACAATATATTTTCATTATGATTTCCCCTTCCCCAGCTCCTCCCAGATCTTCCGCTCCCATCCTAATCCTCATCCCTTCTTTCTCTCGCTCTTTAGAAAATAAACAGTCATCTAGAAATTCTATTTGCTTTCTTATATACCATTGTACCACCTGCCCAGGAATAATGCAGCTCCACAGTGGACTGGACCCTCCCTCATAAGTCATTAATAATAATAATAAAAAAACTGATAGTTGAAGTTCCTCTTCCCAAATATTCCTATCTTGTGTCATGTTGAGGAAAAGCCAAGCAAGACAAGGATCATGACTTTAGAGAAACCATGGACTGTGTAGTGAGATTCTGTCTGAAAATAAAGTCAAATAAAGTAACAAAATATTTAAACAAACAAATAAATAAACCCTCATACTTTATTCATTTTTTAGTATTAGTCTATTCAAATAATTTGATCCTCTTTCTAAGATTTTGAAAGACTTGGTAATGAAAGCACCTAGTAGTTTTTTCCTTTCTTAAGTTTGGCTTTTAACCAATTTGATGATTTTGTTCAAAGGTGTAAAACAGGGAAATTTTGGATGTGGATAGGACTTGATCCAGGTGTCATACACTTTGATCTTTATTTCTGAGGCAAATCTCAGGATGACACATGAATAACACCCAAAGTTGTCCTCTGGCCCCTTCGTGAACAATGCACCCCATATACACATGTGCACCTTCATATGAAAATATATGCAAAATATAAAGAAAAATTAAAGATTAGGAATAGTGAGAAGTGAAAATGTCTAGGAGTTCATTAATAGGACTGATTGTTGTTGCTAGAAGGCAAGTTGAATTTTGTAACTTAAATGGGCTGATGGAAGTCTGAGAGAGGAATAAGATTCAGAAGAGCCATTTAAGTTAAGAGCATTAGTAGGAATGAGTTAAGTGTAAATTAGTGGGACAGAGGTTAGTTAGGAGCAATGTCTATAGGTACCAGAAAGTTTCCTGTCGTTAGAGGAATGAAAGAAATAAAAGCACACCACTTGTCTCTTTCATGTAAACACATGTGTTCAGTGTTCTTCTGTTCACATACACACAGACTCCACAGTGCTTTCGTAGAAGCCAGATGACAAATACAGGGAATTTGTTTTTTTCTGACATGTGGGTCTTGTGAGTCAAACTAGGTCTTTAGCCTTGGTTGCAATTGCCTTTATTGTCTGAGGCAACTCCTTAACTCTCGTATGTTTTTATTCCTTTTTTTAATTTGTCAGGATAATTTGCATGTGTGTCTAAGGATCTGACTCAGATGGTCTTGTCTGTCTATTCTAAAAGCATTAAGCATACATAGATTTGCCTGTCATCCCAGGACTTAATGCAGTCCAGCATAACTTTTATTCAGTTCCACAGTTTATAACCATGTAGATTGCTTCTAGTTTTTATTATTTGTGCTCATATACATGTGTCTTGGTGATCATGTGGACATAGAAATATCCTCAATGTTTTCAGAATCACGCTGTTTTAAAATTATTTCTTATGACATAATTTTGTTATTACCTTCTCTAAGCACACTGTTCTATAGGTCATTGTGTAGATACTTAAACATTTTTCAAGAGAAGGAGTTCCGTTTCTGTGTTAAATAAAAGCAGTGATACTTATTTCTGGTGTGCGGTAACATAACTGTACCACATTTGCTTCTCACTCTGCTCATAAAATCTAAGATCTCTTCTTGGACAATGTGCATTTTAATGTTTGGTAATTACATACTTAGAGCAATTATAGTACATGTACATATAATACATTAATAGCGGTTTTTTATTTTTACCTTACTAGGCTCTTGATACTATTTTTAGAGGTACATTTTGTTGACACTTTGTATTTTTATGATAAAGTATAAACAAATTGTAAAAAGTAGTGATCGTGCAGTGATATTAATATCAGAGTATATACCTTTATACTTATATTTATATATTTTTAACTAGTCTATACCTGGATCATGAGGGTGAAAACAGACTACTTGAACTAAGAATAAAATACAATTCTGGATTTTAGTCTGTCCTTGAGGATATTTAGAGGACTTGGAAGGGTAGATACATATTATCCATTGAACTATGCATTGTGAGTTCTAGGCCAGCTGGAGATTTCTAATGAGATCCTGTCTCAAACAACAAAGCAACATTATATTCAACTATACTTATGAAAGTGTGTGTGTGTGTGTGTGTGTGTGTATAGCACAAGCCTTCCTCAAACTGACAGTAGTCTACCTGCCTCTGTCTCTAGTGTGTTACTATTATAGGCTTGTAGATCCATTTCTGGCTCAAGTTGGCTCCTCTAAAACTATTAGTGAGATTTGAAAATGTTCAGACAAAAATAGCAGTTCTGTGGAAAAATGAAAGAGTTGAGAAATAGTCTCATGCTAGATGTTTGTAGAGACCTCTGCTGAGGTTAAGTTGGGATCTTTCAGTGACTTTGGAAAAGGAATTCAGGATAAGTCAATACAGATCAGAATTGGAATTTTATTGAGATGGGGTCTCTATGTATTTCTACCTGTCCTTGAACTCAGAATGTAGACAGGTTAGCTTAAACTCCCAGAATTCTACCTGCCTCTGCCTCTCAAGTATTGGAATAAAAAATGTGTGCCATATCAACTTGGAATTGTATTATTTATTTACTTAGACTGTTTGTATATGTTTTCTCATTTATATATGGAATGGTGTGCATGTGTGTTATGATATGGGTGTAAGAGTTAGAGTAAAACTTTAGGTGTTGGTCCCTTTCCTTCAGCATGTTTGAGAAAGGGTTGTTAGTATACTGTCATGTGAAAATAGGCTTGTAGGATTTCTTTTCTCTGCCTTTTATTTTGCCTTAAAAGCACTGGATTATAGTCCTGAACAGTTGCAACTGGCTTTAGAGTGCAGAAGTAAAGGGATAGTTGCAAGGTGAGTACTTGATTTGTTAAAACATTTTCTCAGCCCTAAAATTTATTAAGTAGAAATTTTTGGAGTGAGTTTGTTTTGAATCACAGTCTCACTTTCTAACCATGTCTGGCCTGGAACTCACTATGTAGTAGATAGGCTATTCCTGGAACTTGAAGAAATCCACCTTCTTCTGCCTTGTGTGACCACAACTGGCTAATAAGAGATGTTTTTTCATGTATTTCACACAGATATTAGTAGAAAGAAAGGACTTTGGAAACATGTGGTCTTGTGAGGGAGACCTACACTTAAGAATTGATACAAAGTCGTATTAGCATTTTATTAATTCAATTGATAAAGGACATTATCCCACAGCATCTCCACTTTTTTGTCTAATTAAAAGGAAGGTTTTAGCATTACTATAATAAAATAAAAACAGTTATTAAGTAAGAATTACAGTAACAATATCTAATCCATTTGCATTGACAAAATTAGAGAAAGTATCGATCTTATCTTGGTGAGTCTAAAGTTTTGTATCTAATTTACTTTCTAATATAACTAAGGAAAACTATAACTATTTAGTTTTCAAGTCCATCAAAGAACTCAAAAGGATGTAATATTATATAAGTAAACAGGAAATGCATTGTAAACAATTTCCAAAAATCTAGAAAAGACAGACATCTGGCTGCCTAGACAGTCACCCAAAGTCCGTCACCAACGTTGGGGCATCCATCTTCAACCTACAGGCCTAGAGTCTCTGGCATATTTTTCAATGCAGTGGGAAATTTAAAGGACTGTTCTGCCTAATGGCAAGGTTCATCAGTTGCTTTCTTTTGTGTACTGCAGAATGTCTGGCAGTTTCTTCTGTAAAGCAGGAACCTGAAGGACTATCTCCCCTTGATTGGGCAAAGTTCATTGGTCACTTTCCTATGGATCCTGCATGTCTAGTTTATATAATGTACTGTCAAGCATTCCAGGCAAGGGCCATTTCTTGCCCAAATAGCCAGTTTTGCCAAGAAGAAGATAAACTGCATATGAAGTGTCTTCAATGCCCATCTTCCTTTTTGAATTAAATTGGTGCTGCCAGGAGCAGATGTGTTTTACTGTCCAGAAAAGTCTAAGTTCTTAAAATATTTTAAATGCCATATTCTGTAGGTCTTTGAAGTGTTTGAAGATTGCCTGTCTATCTGAAATA